GAAGAAGCTACAGGTATATGTCAGCCTATAGATTAGGATTACCATGTAAAGCTGCCATATATGCTGTTAAAAAATATTGTTCACATAGAAGAGTCCCTGAAAATGTATTAATGGATATTGACATCATGAATATCTGATAATAAATCAATAATTTATCACCTTCATTGGTTAGAATTCATTCATTAATTATATATATAGTAAATTTATCTAATTTATCTAATTTATTGTAGTATTATGCTTGTTTACTGTTACCAGGACCCTGGATAATGTTTCCATTTATGAATTATTCGTAATAGCAATAGTAACATTGCTATATAATACTAATTAACGAATACAATAAAATGATTGAGTCATGTGATGTTATAATCCCGTGACACAAAAGAGTATCATTACTATTTTGGGATTTGAAGATTTGGCAGTGCGGCACAGCATTTGATGTCTTTAGATGACCCGCACAATACTACTAGTTTTAGTGATCTCAACACCTTCAGTAGGTACAGATAATTCTAATATTAAACCCTGTATTATTTTTTGCCCACGTGTAATTATAGGTTGCTTCAGTGTTTCTTCCCATTTGATGATTCCTCCTCTGATGAGACCTCTTCCGATGATCCTTCATTATTGGTTTCATCATCCTCCTCTGACGATTCTTGTAATTTTTCTGATGGATTCCTAATGAGCTTATTTGCGGATTCTCCCCTAATATATCAGCCACGAAAGAAGTCTGACTTGGTTCGGCTACCATCTCACATATTGGACAATCAGTAGATGTTCTATTTACGATACAATCGTGGCGGAAAATATGTCTACACACTAATATTGTAATCGGTACACTAGGTTGTGGAGAAATTTCAATTTCGCATACAGGACAAATGTTAGGTTCTTCGGGATTAAGAGATAATATATTTCGAGCCTTTGGCTCATATCAGATGGAATAGAAGGTGTTGTTTCGCAAAAAAATATTTTATAAGCGAATCTTCTTAAGGTATCCATTTTTAATGAATGATTTTTTTTTCGAAATATAAAATTTATAGTACTCTGATATTAACCTATAACTTGTTTATATAGATAAACTTTTGGCGCAGTTATACATATTCAGGCGAATGGAATTCATATCCTGCTATTGTGGACAATTTAATGGTGAGTTTCTGAATTAATCAGCACTCATTTTTAATTAATTAATGCGTACTTTATCACGAAATTGAAAATAATTTAATGATATAGAACCTGAATTAATCAGACTTTTTATCATACCCGATTTCAGACTCCGAGATGTAACAAACCGTGAACCATGTAACAATTTTTCTATATATATAAATGAATGAATCCATTCATTAAATTCGTTCAATCACTTTTTTTAAAAAAAAAATTAAATACAACACTAAATCATGATTAATAATAACATTAAAAATCTCTACTCTCAAATTTTGTTAGGAGAAACTAATGATCCAACAACAATTGATCTAATTTTCAATTATTTTAATTCAAATCCAAATTATTATTTTGAAAAATATTACTTGCCAGAAGTTGACAAAATAAATAAATACAAATTATATAAACACACATCAAGTTTGTATGCAAAATCTCCATTCAATTCCAAATAAAAAACAAACATTATTTGAAAGAAACAAGGTGCTACAGGTGCAAAAAACTTGGACATATTGCAAAATATTGAGGAAATTTTTTTAAAAACTAAATTAACTGCAATTTATGATTCAGATGATTCACATTCGATCCATTCTGTTCCTTATGACTTTGACATTTATGATGATTAAAAATACTACCCTCCAAAAAGTATCCGGACGAGGTTTTTTAATAATTACGCAAAATACCACATAACTAAAGTACATAAAATTTATATCATTATATGGCTTAGGTTTTGACAAATCTACATGTAAAATCTCATTTTCCTATCATTCTTTTATAATTTTTAGTTAAAAAAAAACGAACACCAAATAAATTGTGAGGATTATCTTTGTAATTTTTTGATAATTTTATGTTTCTCAAAATTTTATATCATAAAATTTAATAAAAATTTAGTAGTTTGTAGTTTAGGTTCTCATAAATAAATGGCTAAAATTTTATGTTCTTGTCACGTGTAAAAGCTTTGTTATTAAAATAAACTGATACCGATAAAATTGATTAGATCAAAAAAAAATTTCAATTTTTAAAAAATGGCAAAAAATAAAATTTCAGAATTAACTGAAGCTGAGCGGGGAAAAATTTTAGGTCTAAGAATAGGTGGTAGTTCTCTTACAAAAATCGCAAAGACACTTAATATTCCAAAGTCCACAGTTTATGATACTATCAAACGTTATGAGAATACTGAAAATTTAAAAAGTGCACCAAGAAGTGGTCGCCTGAAGTCATTGAAAGTCGAAGATCAAAAAATTTTAAGAGACATTGCATCAAAAGAAAATCGTGGTTCTTTAGAAGAGATTCAAAAAAGGTTTGCAGTGATTAGTGGTGTTGAAGTATTGATAATTTTTTTTTTAAAAAATTTTAAAATGGTCGTCACTAAAAAATAAAATAAAATTTTAACCGGGAAGGGAAGAGAGAAATAAACATAGCATGTTAATGTTGATGTTGAGGAGACGTTGAAGTTCAACTTTTGTTAAACTTGATTTTTGGGGAAGGAATTTTCTATGTTAAATATTTTTTTATGTAAAATTAGCTTACAGATGAATATTATTTATTTTTTCCAAGGTCGTAAAGCCTTTCTACTTTCAATGACACCTGATAGCCTTCCGTTTTTTTCTTTTGCTAGTTTTTTGACTTTCTCTGCTACCTTCTTCCATGTTGAAACCAACATGAATTTAATAATTATTTACAATAATAAGAAAAAATCAATATATATCTTTTTTTTTGTCATGAAGACGAAAAATGCGTTATTATCTATTACTATTATACTAGTGTTGGTCGCCAAAACTATTTTGAAGAGGTGAAAGTCAAAACTAAAATTAAAAGTTATATGTCAAAACTAAATCAAAAGTCAATAGTCAAAAATCAAAACTAGTTTCGACTTATGACGAAACCTTTTGACTTTCGCACAGTTGCAAAACTCTCGAGTTTTGGAAACCAACACTATATTATACCGAGATAAAATCGCCATATTTTAAGAACTATTACCTTTTTGGTCAATTAATGAAAGAGATCTTAGCAAATAATTACTTTTTCAATCAATTATCTTAGCAAACAATAAATCATTACTTTTTCGATTAATAAAACTATTAAGTTAAATAAAGAACTATGACTTTTCCGATTAATTAATGAATGAGAAGGATCTTCACAAACAAAAATATTACTTTTTTGATGTGAATCACATCAACCAATCCCTTCCTTTCTAAATAAACAATCTTGCAGTTACCGGATCAATGTAATTTTCTTTGGAAAACGCAATGATGATGACAAAACGATGAAAATGGTAATGACAATAATAAATAAGAGTGGACAATAATCTTTTTTCTAACAATGCTTTCGAATATTGGAATTTATATAAAATCTTCAGATTGATAATTAAACACAAAGCATGTATTAAATGTTATGATTGTTTCATTTATATTGTTATATTGGTTTTATTCAATAAGCGAGACTATGTACGTAGCACCAATAAAAAAATAATTCCTCAATTATAATACTCAAAGTGTTTATAAATTCTTTAAGAACCGGTTCAAGTTCAGGACTAGTCACAGGATTGATAACTTTAGTACCAAATATTTATTTTCAGCGTATCAGATACTCGAGATATTTTATCGAATAATTTTATTTTTGAAGTTTTAATTATTAAATCCTTTAATTTTATCTATAATTTCAACTATAAAAACCAATGTTTCTTATTCTATGATTCGTTCCCCAAATATTTATAATAAAAATTAGTGCCACATTTTACAGTGATCCATAAATAGTATATTCATTTGTACCACAATACTTTTTTATATTCTAAATTGGTTGATTTATAATAAATAAAAAAACCCGACCACTCACTTTTTTAGATGTTCTTCGTTCTTTGAATTTTTGCCCGAGGTTTTCACTACAGTTTTTTGGATATTGATTCATATTTTTTCTTTTTATGATTATAAAGTTATAAATGATAAATATTATATGACCCCTCTGTTTGGGACACGACTTGATTTATAGTTTGACATTGAAAAATCAAGTTGATGAGGAGTTTATTGAAATTGTTGTATTCAGATTCTATACATTTTTCAAAAGGTCCATAACAAAAAAAAAGATAGTAGTGGCGAATAGACGCTTGCTAACGATAAACTAGTGCCCTTTTTATTGAATTATGACAAGGGATTCTTTTCCAATTATATTAATATGGAACAATCCCTGGTAAAACTGATTATCCTTTGACCCCTTAATATGTCATTACTATTATTGTTTGTTTATAATAAAAAAATGGGTCAATATTCATTTTTCCATATTTTGATGATATCATTCGGTATTTAATAAATTAAAATCATTATTTGCATACAAATCTAAACTCGATAAGTCAGACGCAGCAATCAATTGTTTAAATTACTTTATAATATAAATAATAAATCAATTTTAGATGTGTATTTATATAAACGATCTATTTTTTTCTCTCTCTTTTTTGAGAGAAAAAAATGAAAAAAATCAATATTTATAAATACAAAATTCCCATTTTCGCTCATTTTAACTGATAAATCATGGTATAAAATATCAAAAGATCCCAAAGTAAGAGCAAACTGGATCATTAAAAAACATGACAAAGCACATTCGTTTTTTTACGCGATTCGCTACGGTCATAACTTTATATCATTAGAATTAGTTGATCTTCTTATCAAAGAAAACGTGATTTTATCCAGATATCTTGTGCGACGATTATTATTACAATTCGGAAAAACCGACGATAGTTTAATTGAATTAAAAATACAAAATGACACCAATGCCAACAACAACAACAACAACAACAACAACAACAACAACAACAATAATGACATGGATCAAGGAATATATAAAGTTTCCCAAAAATATTATAGGAATCCTTGGGCCTCGAATATTCCAGTAGCAGTATTTGTAGCTTTGTTAAAAGAAGCAAAATTACACAATATGGTGAAAATCTTCCCTTGAAAGGAAATGATAATGTTTCATTTTTTGACAGGAGGACCATTAGCCATAGACTTGGCTCCAAAAAAATTAATTGAAAATCTTGAACAAATAAAGGATCTTATATTAAATAAAAAGTTCATACCTTTCCCCCCAAGACCAATTATCCCATTTGAAGACTCGATTGATAAATAGAAATGCAAATACTTAATCATAAAGAGTATCCAGCCAAGGATGGATTTGAAAACAACAAGCAATTGAACATAATTACAAGAGCAATATTAATTTATCCTGAGATAGTAGAATTCTGGAAACAATGATATATGTAAAGATGTCAATAATTTGGTGTTACAGGGTTCTTTGTTAATTTTATTCTACCCAAATCATAAAAATGAAGAAGCTTGTGATTATCCAACTACAATGGATTTTGTAAAACATATACAAGAATTGGTCAAAGTTGGGTTCAAATTGACAAAATCTGTCATGACTGATATTCTAATTTTGTATGAACAACATATTGATAAAATTGG